AAATGGAACTTTCCCAAAAGAATTGTGAGGAAAAGCTTTTAAGAGAACTGCCTGGACGAATGACACAAGGAGAAAATTTTGTGCTAGCCATGAACATCACATGTTTTTAATCCACTAGTTAGAAAAGTTGACCCTGAAAAGGAGCATGATATATTGGGCTGTAGAGAAGATGTGTCAGCTTCATGATCAAGTGCATTACCCTAAATGGGCTCATTTTCTCTCCAGAGCGAAGAAACCCAGCTCCACAGTCACATACCATGGCCATTTGTCCTGGACCGCATGAGTTAAATAGTCTGTCGTTGCAACCAGGATGGACCTATTTCGTTTTTTAACTATCTTCTTTGTCATGCTATTACAGTTGTCCCAAATTTCCTCACCTCCACCCAGCCACCCACACCCTCTGGGGCAATTCCCACACCACTGTCCCCATTCATGAGTCCTGCATATATAGTTTTTTGGCTGCTTTATTCCCTGTGTAGTACTTTACACCCCCATGGACATTCTGTAACTACTTATTTGTACTTATTAATCCCTTCACCTTTTCCACCGTCCTCCCAACCCCGCTCCCATCTGGAGACCATCAAAATGTTCTCTGTATCTATGATGCTATTTCTATTCTGCTGGTTTTACTTTGTTATTCTTTACAGATTCAATTGTTTTATTGCCATTTGATTGTTCATATGTTTGATCTTCCTGTTCTCAAAGAAGGCCCTTTAACATTTCACACAATACTGGTGTGGTGGTAATGAACTCCTTTACCCTTTTCTTGTCTGGGAAGCTGTTTATCTGTCGTTTGATTCTAAATGATAGCTTTGCTGGGTAGAAGAATCTCAGTTGTTGGTCCTTGCTTGTCATCATTTTGAATATTACCTGCCAATTTCTTCTAGCCTGCCGAGTTAGAGAAATCAGCCAACAGTCTTATGGGAGCTCCCTGGTAGGTAACTAACTGCTTTTCTCTTGCTGCTTTTAAGATTCTCTGTTATTTAACCTTCGGCATTTCAATCATGATATGTCTCAGAGTGGGCCTCTTTGTACTATGATGCCCAGTACAAGATGGGTCCATCTTGTTTGAAACTCTCTGTGCTTACTGGACTTGTATGTCTCGTTCCTTCACCAGGTTAGAAAGATTTTTTTAAATTATGTTTTTCAAATGGTTTCCAATTTCTTGTTCGTTCTCTTCTCCTTTTGGTGCCCTTATAATACAAATGTTAGTATACCTGAAGTTGTCCCAGAGGTTCCTTACACTAACCTCCTATTTCCGAATTCTTTTTTCTTCTTGATGTTCTGATGGATGCTTTTTAGTTCCCTATGTTCCAAATCACTGATCTGATTCTCATCTTCATCCACTATACTGTTGTTTCCCTGTAAATTGTTCTTTGTTTCAACTAGTGAATTCTTCCTCTCTGAATGGATCTTTTTTCACACTGTTGAGGTTCTTAATAAGTTCCTTGAATATCCTTACAACCAGTATTTTGAGCTCTGCATCTGATAGATTACTTATCTCCAATTTGATTAGTTCTTTTTCTGGAGTTTTGTTTTTTTATTTGGGCCATGCTTCTTTGTCTCCTCACTTTGGCAGCCTCCCTGTTTGTTTTTATGTACTGGGTAGAGCTACTATATTTCCCAGGCTTGACAGAGTGGCTTAATGTAGCAGGTGTCTTGTAGGGTCCAGTGGCACAGCCTCCCCTATTAGCCAAGCTAATACTCAAGGTTTGCCCCCTGTGTGACCTGTATACAGCCTCTTGTTGTAGTTAAGACTTGATTGCTATTAGCACATCCAAAGTCAACCACCGCCTGTGTTCAGTCTGGGGTCACACAGCATTAGCTATAATATAAGCAGCAGAGGGCTGCTACCTGTGCTGGGCTTGTAGGTGCCTTGAAGAGGCCAGGCTGTGAACCAAGGCCAGCTGCTGCTAATGCCAGGCCTGGGGCAACTAAGCAAGAGGTACAGGGCTTGCTGAAGCCAGATACTGCTCATTTGAGACAATTTAGAAAAATCTGAAGCATAGGCCAAGACAAGCCATTCATATGGAAAAGCCACTGGAAATACCTTGGGTGGGTCTGAAAGTTGGGTGGGGCAAACAGTGTGAGCTAGGACGATGGAGTCTCAGATATGGCACCCATCTGCTGGTTCTGTGGGGGGGCTCAGAAAAGGTACAATGGCCTCTGCCAGCACTTCTGTCTGGGAGAAAGCAGCTCTCCAGCTCTTGTCCTGACACCAGACAATTCAGTTCCTCCCTGTAAGTCTCTGATGATTCCAATCTGCTGCCCCAGTGCTACAGCTTAGAGAGACTGAATCCAAGTAAGTCTGTACATGGGCCCTTTAAAAGGAACTGCCTGGGATTCCAGAAGTTTCTGTCTTCCACAGCCTTAATCCACAGACTCAACCCCTGCTGGTTTTTACTCAACTTATGGAGATTTATCTTTATGGCACTGCAACACTGGGCAGAGGGGCCTGCTTGGGGCTAGGACCACCCCGGCCCAAACCCCTGCCTGAGATATCCCTCCCAATGTGTATCTCCCACCTGTGGGTGTGGCAGCAGCCCATTCCACGTCGCCACCCCTACCTACTACCAGTCTTGATGTGGTTTTGTCTTTAATTCCATAGTTGTAGGACTTCCATTCAGCTCCATTTCTGATGGTTCTGAATGACAGTTTTTCTACAGGTTAGTTGTCATTTTGACGTGGTTGTTCAAGGAGGCAAACCGTGTTTACCTACACTGCCATCCCGACCCTCTTTTGGGGGGCCTACTTCTATTTGTAGCATTCATACCCTCTAGGTCTCAGTTTCCTGAACTATAACAGGATGGCTTCTAAGGTACAAAGACCTCTAATACTCTATTGTATAAAAGTTAAAAACACTGACAGAGACCAACCAGGAGCATAATAAATGCCCTACACTCACAAGTTAGCCTCTGAGCAAAAGAAAGCTCATTTTCAATACTCCTCAGGTAAATAGTAAGAGTTACCCTTACATTCACAGAACGGGACAGACTTAGACACGCTTTGCTCGGGACTCTTCCCAAATTACTAATACATGGGGCAACAAACAGAATTCATGATTAAGGGAGAGGATGCTGTCAAAGGCTTGCTATGAGTGAAAAAGGAAGGAAGAGCCGAGCACAAGAAGAACCTAAAACTAGACCTCAGGTGAAGAAAGCCCAATGATCCAGGGCCATTTGATACAGCGATGGACTTAAACATTTCTATCATCCTGGCATACAGCATAGCTCCATAAATCACATCTGTAATGATATCACTGTTAGGTGCAAAAAATGTGAAATTATATTTCTATACTCTGCTTAATAAGGTAAGAAAACACAGCTTATGATTATGACCACTTAATAATTTAGCTCATAAAGGAATGTTGCCTTCAGATGATAGAGGTAACTATAAAACCCTAATAATGTTCTTCAGACAGACGGTCAGTGACATCTTTATATACATAGCAAGTAAAGATTAAGGAAGGCAATGGAGAGTCCATTCTGTGAACAAGCTTCAGCTACTGGCACTTCCTTTATAAGAACAATGAAAAGAACCCGGTGAACACTTCACCCAACATAACTTTAAAGGACCTAGAACACTTCTGCATTTACGAAGCTGTCACTTGGTTAGAATGAAAGAAAACACTGAGTAGAAATTATGGTGTAATTTTTGAGTTTAAAAAATTTTTTCAGAGAATTCTGGTTGTATCCATGTAATGCAAATACCATGAAATAATTTTTATGCCAAAATATTCAACTATACAGTTTGCTTTACTGTGTACCACTGGTATTCAACAAATAATTGGTTTACATTCTCTGGGAGAGGAAGAGTAAGTAAGCAGTTTTTCTGACCAGAAGGTCATTTATCCAAATCCAGAAAAATTCTGAGCTCTCTGATTCCTAAGACTTTCCTGTATGTTTCTATGAAAAATCAAATTATTTCTTCTGAAAACGTATACATTTTTTTCAAAGCCCCAAACCTCTCAAGATTGTCACAATGACAGCATTATGAAGACCTCACTCCCTCGGGCCACCAAGTCATTGGAATATTGGGTCTTTTCTACTGTCCCTCCTCGCCCTTCCTCAGCACCCAGGAGCTCAAAGGAGCAACTGGCAAGGGTACCTGTAAGTTCCAAAGCAACATGAAGGCCAGAGACAAGTTCACAGAAGCTTACACCTTAACACCCAAATTGAAAACAGTCCAGTGGCCACTTTCCTTTCAAGAAGCACCCTAAACACTTCTGGCCGCATTCATCAACCCTGATTCACAGTTGTTCAGACCTGGAGCAGGATAGATCCAGGCTCTGCTTGAGCATCTTCACCTGAGGATCAGCTCTCAGCATCCTGGGGCTCACTTAAACTGGCTCCTTTCCACTTTATCTCAAGAGGCTTGGTTCCCTGAAGAAGTTGTTTTGCTTCTCAACATAGGGAAGGAGGAAAATATTGACTAAAGTAGAACTGGTAAAAAGCTTCACAACATACGGCTGACAAGATGCCTGCAAACCAGACACAGCCGCACCGTTCAATCACAGTTCACGCTCACTTCTCACGTCACGCTGCAAAATGCCTTTTGGGGAAGCCACATATGCAAGTTTTTCATCAATCAGAAAAACGACAAAGACCTGTTAAAAAACCCAAAAGCTACATACCTAAAAGAAAACCTCACAAAATAAGAAAAGCCAAGATTGTGATCTATTCTTGGCTTAGGCTTAGCTCTGAGAGTATAATGATGGCCAAACTAGGCTGCACACCACCCAGGGATATGATGGGGCTGCATTAAAATAAGACTCACATCATCAAGTATTTCGAGCATTATAGCTGAAGATAGAGAAGACCAAGTATTACTTAATAGTTTGCACATCTGACCACAGTTCTAAGAAAAACCTCTTTCGAGGGCTCATTACATTGAGGAACCCTTCCCTGTCACATTGAGAAGCCTTATTCCTCCCACTTCAGCTTCAACAGTGTCCCCCCACCGCACAAGGACCCTGCCCCAGCGATTACACGAGTACTCACATTCAAAGCATTCTTCGCAGCTTCTGCTTCTGAGCGACTGTCAAAACTGACAAAACCTACGGGCTGAAGAAAGAAAAGCAAGTATGAAGGAAAAAAATCAGAGGCTACCTACTTTTTTTTTTTGGGGGGGGGTGTCGAAGGTGATGTCAAACTGAAGGGCTAAGATAAAGGAACGACCACAGACATTCGTGTAGAAGTAAGAAAGCCAGTCCAGAAAAATCACGAGTCAGTGGTTTAGCTGAATTTCTAACATGAATCAAAGGGATTGTGAGGATGGTTCTTCAAGGGCATAGCTGGGGATTTAGGGGACCATAAAAATAACTTAGAAGAGGTAGGAAGGTGAGCAGCAGTGAACAAGGAAATAGAGAAAAACTTGGGTTGAGAGACTCTACACTCCCAAGTTGAATTCCGTGTACCTCAGGTTCTTTATCTTTTAATGTAGAGAAAGAACTGAATCACCTTTTGGTGTATAATGTCAGTGCAAGGTATACAATGACACAGTGATAAAAGCCCTGTACTCTCACTGCATAATCAAAATTATGAAATGACCCTTTCCATCACAAATCCCAAGGGATGCCTTCCAAAAGTCCTGTATTCAGTAGGTGTGTAGACCGTACTGTTCCAACTAAAGAGAATCCCTTTGGACTCAGTATCTTTCAATCCAGAAGGATACTAGCAACATAGCTTGTTCCTGATGAACCAGAGAATGCCTCACGGAGTGACGAACAGTGATTGGGAGGTGAGCATGCTGAGTGCTCCGCATTAGAGGGGAAAAGCAAACAGCTGACAATGTCGAAGAAGCTTGCAGGGACTGTGAGGGTCACTGATTACCACCGCCACTCGGGGTTTGAGAGAGAATGTGAGTCTTCCCCATCAGATTCTCCTACCGATGGTGAGTCTGCCTGTTTAACCTTATTAAAAAAGGAAACAGGAAAGAATTGGGAATAAATGTGAATGTGGATGATAATTACTTTTGAATATACAAACAAATCCCGATATAACAATGCTGGATGCGCTGCATCTGCCTTCCTTGGGGCCAGTCCCAAATACCCTAGCTGGAGACTATGGAATGAACAAACCATTTTCCTGTGCTGATTCCTAACCGATCACACTCTTATTTTGAATACAACAACAAGAAAATAAAATCCTAATGAGAACACAGAAGGCTGAGCCCTAGTAACACTCCTGAAGAAAGTCAATTCAAACTTTTTGTGGAAGTGATCGTTCATGTGCAAGTTTAAAACTCTTACCTGCTTAGATGTGAGCTTTATAAGAGAGCCCTCATAGCCCTGAAAAGGAAAAAACAAAAATAAAAAACAAATTTAGACCAAAAAAAAGAGTGCTAGTGAAAAAAAAAAGGAGTTATAATAATGGCACCTTCTCAAGTAAAAATGAGTGCTTTATGACTGTTGACTACTTCTTTCCAGAAATGCCTCTGAAATTCACTGGGGAAGCAAATGACACACAGGGGCCCTCACCCATCTTTACAGATGCCTGTGTCTGCATGCTGGGGTCCTGGAAGAAATCAAGCCCTGAAATCCATGCATTTTTATGTGTTTCTTTTGCTTTTTTTTTCCACGAAATTATGCAATGGTATCTCTGTCAACAGCAGATCTTTATTCAACAGAACCCAGAGAGGGAAGGGGGTAAATTTCATAAGATGGGAAGGTAAGAGTATGTGATGACCTGGTCATGTATTCGCTATAAAATACCAACAGCGACACATTAAGAATGCACTATACCTTGGTGATCACCTCATAATTTATATAAATGCCTAATCAACATGGCTGCACACCTGAAACTAATATAATATTGTACATCAACTATAATTGAAAAATAATTTTAAAAAAATAATGCACTCAGTAAAACTTACTAATCAAAATTTCAAAACTGCCAAAGAAGGTTACGTAGGCAGTGATGCTAAATTCTGCTGAGTTCTTTTGCTTATTTAGTAGAGCATTATGACTGAGGCAAGCAAAAGTTCCCTGTGGGGTGTTTACTCCAGCTCATCCTCACGGAGGATGGAAACACTCCCTTCAGTTCCTCCCTTTCCTCTTCACTGGACCCGCAGCATGTGGATGACAAGGTGTGTTTATTTCTGAAAACAATCAATGGCTGGTGGTTTGCACTGATGGATGAGACAGAGGGGAAAACACCACCTGACATGACTGACCACCACACATATCAATGTCGAGACAGGTTTGCAGACCAGGGTCAACCCCCAGGGACGTTAATTAAAAGAGGGCTGTTAGGAATGAAGTGCGGTCCTGACTTGAGTGAGCACAGCTTTTCTGGGCAGAGCCTTGGGACTGATTCATCCTCTTATCTTCCCAGCATAGAACTATGTGACCAATCAGCTGCCGTGAACATTTCACCTCACAGGCCTTGAGCTCTCTGGCCAAAGAGGTCATGGTTTGCAGCCCTGCCTCATCTCTTTTAAGGTGCTTTCTCTGAAAAGCCTAGAGGTTTAAACACCCTGAAGGCCTTAAGTGGCAAAGGACAGATGGGTATTTCACTCAAGTAAAACACCACAGGCAGGAATATACTGTGCCCTTAAGTGACAAGAAGGGAGTTAGTATCACAAAGTCGTTCAGAACAGGGATGGCAGAGTGAAATGGCTTGGGTTTGAATCTTACCCCTGCCATTTACTATGTGGGTTAACAGGAGCAAAATTTATTCAACGGCTCGAAGTTTTGTTTCCCTCATTGGAATAAATGAGGCCAAGCCGTTCTAAAGTTCTGTGATGAGAACTAAGTGAGATCATTCATATAAAGGGCTTGCAAGCTGAACCACTTTCTCTCCACACATATGGAAACACAACAGTAATCTGTCCTTTAAGATCAATTAGGTTAAGCCCTGGCTGGCAATAGCTCAGTGGATTGAGCATGGGGCCTGCGAACTAAAACATCGCGGTTCAATTCCCAGTCAGGGAACATGCCTGGGTTGCAGGCCAGTTCCCAGCAGGGGCCAGTTCCCAGCAGGGAATGTACCAGAAGCAACCATACACTGACATTTCTCTCCTTCCCTTCCCTTCTAAAGATAAATAAAATAAAATAATCAATTAGCTTAAAATGTCCCCACCCAAGGGACAGTAAAATTTGCAACCCTGCAAAGGAAACTCGGGAAATTCTGTCAAGTTGGCGTTCTCCTCCCACGACACCTTCGCTTCCTCCCCACTTCCTCTCAGCTAACCTCGTGTGTAAGCTTCCTGTTTCCTCTGCAGGGTCAGCGTTAGGGTCACGATAAGGCAGCGATTTCCAGCCGCTGCGCCACACCAGGCACTACCTGACCACCGAGTCAGGGGCACTGACTTCTTTTCCTTTAGTTGTCAAATTAAAAAAATGGCAAGAGCCACCACAACAATAGCCATTTGGTGTGAATGAATCAAAATGATTCCTACTTTTGTCAGATCAGCAAAAAAAAATCTATTTTTTGATGTGCCACAGAATTTTAGTAATTGGTTTGTGTGTGCCATGAGATGAGAAAGGTCACAAATCCCTGCATGAAGGGGCTGGCTGTCAGAATGAATTTACGTCACTGAATAAATGCTTTCTTGACACCTAGACTGGGCTCTATTGCAGCATCTTTGTCGGTTCTGACCCTCCCTCTTACTTCCTACACAGCTGTTTTCAGCTGGCACCCCCTCCTCTCTCCATAAGAAGCTGGATCCTGTTCCTCAACCTGTCCTGCGTCTACGGTTGGAGTCCTCCCCTTCAACAGGGATGGAGGTCTAACCAAAAATCAAGGTGGTCCATCGCCTCATCGCAAGTGTGGCCCCAGAGGGCATCACTGGCTGATACGTCCTCAACGACCAGCTCAGGCCACAGGCTCTGAATTGATCATGACCTCCAGGTCCAATCCCCGAGGGCCAAGGCCTCCAGCCCGCAGCCCGCCCGGTCCTAGCCTTCTCCAATCCTCCGCAAGCCGGCCTTCGAAGTTTTGCCTTGGCAGCACGCTTCCTTCAGCTTTAGTCTGACTTCCTGTTTGGTTTCCAATCCCGGATACATTAAAAGTATCTCTACAGCAGTTTTATCCCAATAGTCACACTGCACTGAGTATCTCACTAAGCCCCAGGAAAGATTACTCTCATACGACACTTTAATACTTTGTTCTACTGTACTTGAAACTTAGGATATTATTCCCATGAAAAGAATAATGGTGTTAGGTTCATAGTCTAATTCATAAGAGTCAATTTAACCTATCATGTCTCCAAAGAATAGTTCTAACAGAACTATTTCCACTAATAATCTCCTAGGGATAGTGCTGGACTTATATTATTGTATTTGAAATATAAATGCATAATCGATAACTGAGGGTGTGTTTGGTGGTCTGCACCTGGAACATGCCCAGCTGGCAGAGGACACCAAGGCTGCTCTACAGAGGAGACAGACACACGTGCACACCGGTAAGAGACTCCTCCAGACTGGCTGTCGGGAGGACAGAAGGCTGTGTCCACCTTTCCTCGGTGAGACCACACACCAGAACTGAGTCCCTAAAGGCCCAGGACTCACTGACCTTTTAAAAATAGCACTAGACAGGGCACTTTCTCAAAATTGTATTTCTTCCCCCAAAGAGACCTAGAAGGACCTTCTACACACACTTTTTGCTTCCTTTTACAATGTCGGAAAGACAGAAAAGGTACCTTAAATGGTCTGAAAAGCAGGTAAAGCTCCCGAGGTTTGATGTCCAGAGGGAGACCACTGACAAACAGGGTCCGGACCTGGAAGAGACAAGAGAACCGCTCAGAGGAGTGGAATCCAGAGACGACTCCTTACGTGCAATTCCAAAACCCCTTGTCTTCACACACTTCACGCATCCGACCTACTTCATGCTCCTGCAATGACGCAAGAGCGCTCTATGTTAAGATGACATTAAATTAGATCTTCTTTGTGGATTATTCAAAGTGAACTACCTCTAGCTGATTTAAATTCATGAGCTGACCTCCTTCCCAACTAGCCATTGTTGGCCCTAAAACTGGGGGGTGGGGGTCCAGATAATTCCATTATTAGCGTCAGAAAAATGCCATGAGGGTGGTCAACCTGCCGTCCTTCCACTCTGATCAAATGGACACAGAATGTGGTTCAAAAATAAAATCAAAGCCATTTATTTTCTCCTGCTTGTCCACCACAGCTTCCTTCATCTGCATTCATCACCACAGTAATTTTTAATAAGTGGAAAAGTTTATTGAACAATTCAAACACATCTAAAGAGTAGCCCAAATGCCTACCAGCATCTTCTCAGTCCCAAAACGGGGACAGACCTCCCTGACTGACAACTATAAGGCCAAGGGTACAAACTATCTTCATCTTTATCCTTTTCATCTTTAACCTCTAGCATTTTAAGTGTGATATGTCTTCAAGTGGGTCTCTTTACATCTACAGCCAAGGTTACTCTACTACAAAGCTATCATTAAGAATTGAAGGACACATAAAGAGCTTCCCAGGCAAGGGAAAAAGCTAAAGTAGTTCACTATCACCAAACTATTATACAAAATGTTAAAGGGACATATTTAAGAAAAAGAAGATCAGCACTATGAGCAATAAAACATCAATACATACATATCTATCAACAATTGATTCTAAAAAAAAAAAAAACTAAGCAAACAAGAACAGAGACGGACAGAATCATGGACACGGAGAGCATTTTGATGGTTGCCAGGTGGGAGGGGCTGTGGGGAATATGTGAGGAGGTGAGGGGATTAAGAAGCACCGATAGGTAGTCACAGAATAGCCATGGACATACAAAGTGCAGTATGGGAAATGGGGTAGCCAAAGAATCTTACATGCATGACCCACGGACAGGCAAGCGTGGGCCCTGCCCATGGAGGGGGCAAAGGGGGAAAATCAGGACAATTGTAATAGCATAATTAACAAAGTACAATTTTAAAAGAGGGATTTGGGGAGTTAACTTAGGAAATAAACTCCCATTTACAGAACTGACCTAAAGAAGATGACTTTACAAACTTGCAAGGCAAATAATTTAGCACCACCACCACTAGAAATCTAGGGGCTATCAACATTACTTGATATAAATTAAGGTTCACCTGCATCCATGAAATATAATATGCAACCAATGAAAAGGATGTTCAAGGAAAAAGTACACATTGTTTTGTTTTATTCTGTGAAACAAACAACCAACACACATGTATTTGGAGAGGGAGAATGCCTTGTAGGATGTATAGATGCCAACGTGCTTATGCTCACATGGCCCTGAGTGGCAGAATAAGAAGCAGTTCCAATGATTTTTATTAGTAGCTGTTTTTCCTATCTTTCTATAATAAGCATGTATTAGCTACTAGAATTTTACTTTGCTGGGTTGAGCATTGTCTCATTTTAAAAAATACTTTGCTTTCTTGATGAATTATAACTAATGTCAGTATTTATAATAAAAATCGTCAGGTTTATGGAGAAAACTTTTCTAGGGAAATAATTCAGAAACAGCAGGCTCTTCGCGTCCTAACAGGAAGCTGTTACACGAGGGGAACTGCTGGCCCTGCGTTTGCCACTCGCCCCCAGAAGACGACAGGAGGCTCAAAGGGACTGTGTCGTTTATCAGATTAGAGGCAAACTAGTAAGACGCCTGACATTTTATTTACACGTGGAAGCAACTTAAAACTCCTAGAACCCCACAGAGCCACCCCTTTCTCAGAAACCTGATATGTCACTTCCCACTGAAAACCTCTTCTCTGCTCTGATCGAACAGATACACTGACTAGGAGAAATAATTCTTAAATACTTACATGATGAAATATGTAAGTATTTAGTGAGAACTAAAGGTCACTGAAATGTACACGCTTGGAATTCATGTACTTTGATTCATTTCTAGACTACTTCAGGCTTGCAAACTGGAAAACAAACAAAAAAACCTCTTCTTCAGTATGTAATCCGCACTTTCCTACGAACCCGAGGTGACTGGGATCTAGAACCTTGGGGAAATGTGGAAACATTTGGGTTCCCTTGTTCTTCTCACCACCACCCTTCTTATCGGAGCCACTCGCTAACAAAGCACCCTGCACTGTGTCTCCCCAGGGTCTATGGCAATCACAGAGGTTAAGGTCTGACCTCTGACTGCAAGGAACTTACTGTCAGGGAAGGAAGCAGAACATGCCCCATGACCTTCCATAATAACAGAAGGAAGCCTAACTCATTCACGAAGTAACCAATCAGACCCCCCAAACAGTGAGATACAATTTTAAGAAACAGGTATAAACCCATGATCAAATACTCAGAAAAAAAAATATTCCCAAAACAAGTGAGCGCCACCAAATGCACTTTTGTGGCAGGTTGACCGTGATTCCAGGGCAGGCCCAGCTGACTGACCCGCAGTGTCTAAGGGCACAGACGTGCCTGGCACTAGGCCTTCAGTGCCCCAGACGTTTACTTTGTATCAGACACATGGGGAAACACGCTTCTCAGTCAAGGGCGCGGCACGCCTTATAGAAGTTCAAGGCACGAAGCTGCTGACAGCTCTATCCCGAAGGGACGCTAGTGGATTCTGTGGAAGCGCCTCCCACTTCGTTTTTACCTGAAGGAACAACCCTGAACCGTTCCGAAGGAGGCCATGCCGGGTGAGATCATCCTGTGCAGAACAGCGAGAGCAAGAGCCTCCTTGGCTCGGCTATTATGTATCGTTTCACCAGCGGCCACAGCTACATTTTGGAGAAAACTGACCATGTGTTCTTAAGTGGACTGCCAGCTTTCAGTGGAAAAGACAAGCCACATTTCTGTGACTGACTCCTAACTTAATAAACTCTAATTCAGTCCGTAAAGCCATTCTCTGTCAGTCTTCGGCTTCCCTGGACAGAAAGGCCACAGGCCTTGGCATGCAAAGGCCCTACCTTTAATAAATGACAGGCATTCATTATCTTGTACCTAATCTAAACACTCAAATAAAAACTAACGGACACTGCTTATTAATTTCAGTACACTGCAGAGAATAATCATGCATCCTTTTCAGTAAGTGGCCACATCTGGTAAATACCAGTGTTCAAAGACAATGAGCATTTTCCGTGTATGTTTTACTTGTTTAGATAAAGGTCTCAGGGATCACCCTCTAGCTGCTTTGACCTGAGACCTCTGCAGGTTTCTCAAATTGATAGAAGATGGGGAAAGACAATGTCTCCTTTTCTAATGATTCACGAATAACTGTTCAGTCACTCCTTTGAAAGATTCTAATGAGTAAAACAAAACCATGGGATGCTTCTCTGACCTTGTACCCTCTGCAAGCCTTCCCTCCACCTACCCACCTTTTTAAACATACAACTACAGACCCCAGAAGAAGCTTTCAGTGGTGGTGTGTGTTGAAATCATTCTCTGTAATACACAGTGGATTCACAGATAAGAACTTTCAAAGGGCACTGTAGAATTTGAGGCCCTTTTCCCCCCTTCAGTCGGTACAGCACAGTCCCAGGCACAGAGGTACACTGTATAAACACCCCTTGGATGAGTTTAGCCATCTACAGAACACTGTGTATCCATGGGACACAGTGAGTGTCTGTTTATGGGCATCCCTGCTGACCACACAGCAGAGAAGGAGGGACCCCATTTCCCAGTCACCATCATGTCAGGACAGTCACCACAGCATCGAAAAAAAAAAAACCCACACATGACAAAAAGGCAAAAGAGGTTAACATTGTAAGAAATGGCAATTTAGGAGAGGAAAGAGAAATGAGACAGAAACAACCAGAATCAAGGCAGAGAAATTTAAAGACAAAACCACCCAAGACCACCAAAACATTCAGGACTACGCATCCGTCTTCAAGGACAGAGTGACCCACAGGACACCAGTAAAGTCACTCACATTTCAACTGACGTTTGAAACACACTTACTTATAAATAAATCCAATTTCAACAGGGTATGTAAAAGTATGTAATTCACAAAGTTTTTAAACAGACGGCCAAAGTCACTAGCGAGCACATATAAAATGATGGGTAGGTATACCTGTATCTACTAATATATAATGAAGTTCTCAATCATTAGGTTAAAAAAAAAGCAAACACTAGAAATTGTTTATAATTCCAGTTTAATCCTTTCAGTGTTTTTTGGTAACTTAGTATATTCTCAAGTCTTAAAAAAATGTGTACCTCTATATACCTAATTCCGACATGTTAATAGTAGGGAAGTTCTGTATATTTACAGTGGAGAGAGTGGGTGCAATTTATAGAACTCACATTTTATATATTTATACACTTTGGCATTTAAAATATTTGTAACAATAAACAATTTTTTTAAGAGAAAACAAATACAAACCCAAAGGTATCTCCTTCCTTGGAAGGTATCATAAACCTCAGGTCCTGCCTGTCCTTGTTTGTGCTCAGGAATTTTCATTGTCCTGTCTCTCCCTGCTCCGGAGGGACGAGCCTGATCTCGTAGAAATATGCATTCATGTATCTGTTCCACACTTCGATTCTGACCACAAGTCCGTGTTTCCTCACACTCTGAAAGTCCAATCTAACCTACGGGGGGCACCGTGCCTCTGAGATACGGCCACAGGACCAGGAACGCCCCACCCACCTGCAGTCTGAGGGCGTTCTCCTTTGTGACCACTCTACCCCCACTCAGATGAGAAGAGAGGGACCACTCACTCACTTTCCAACACCCAAGGGAGTGCCATCTCTTTTCTGAGAGACCACACTGTACAAACTTGGTTTCAGGGACAGAGAAGTTCAAAAGCATTCCACATTTCTGTGCAGCCTAACTCTCAGAGTTGGGGTATTTTTA